TTTTTACTGCAATACGCGCGTATATTCAAAGGCGGCTAATGTGTGTTTTATGTTATAATTGTGCATTGATATATATTGCTTACAACACGTGCTTTTTTAAGTGGTTGTAACCTGTTACATGAGTAGTAATTCAAAATCATACGAGAAGAAATTTATAAAATGATTACTTTTAAAACTTTATGCTGAAAAATATATCAATGTAAGCAATTATTGAAAAGTTTTATCAAAATTTTATCTTAAAATGTATTAAATTAAAATCATAATCAAATATGCAAAATGTCAAAGCAATCAAATTGTTAAAAAGGTGCATATTAAAAAAGATCAACAAAAGGTCTGTACCATCAAATTTTGTTGATACGTGTATCTGCGTAAAATCGGTTAGTGAATTGAAAACCTATATCAAGAACTTAGAATTGGAACAATGTCTTTGAAATTAGTTACTTATAAAAAGGAAATATTCTAAAATCAGAAAAAAATGTTTATTAATGATCTTTTCAATAATTTGTAATCAAGTAAAAAGTCATATTTCGAATATTATCTATGAATATATTTTTTCCCAATTAAGATACTAGTAGATCCGCGCCATAATGCTAAATAAACACTTCATTTGTTTGGTAATAATCATATGTAGGAATAAAAAGTTCTTTGAATAAAATTAGCTTGTATATCCAGGCTTTTGCAGGTATATTCTAGAAATGCCGATGCATTACTCGATGTCTCCTCTTTTCCCATTCTTAATCACCTGACAGGTTGATTTATAAACAGGTGAAGTTTCTGTTATATCGATTTACCCTGGGTAAGGTTCCCAAAGTCAGTGATAAAATTATCTTAAAAGTCAACACCGCATGATAAAACAGCTACAAAAATAGACTTCAAAATCAATAATTTATTAAATTATCATTTTATATCAAATTCAGAGGGGAAATTTGAAAATCGTAAACTTTTTTTTTTTTTGCCTTGAACAGCATGTGTGTTTGTGAGCGTATATGTGCGAGTGGGCATTGGAGGATGAACGTGTCCTAACTGCATGTATATTGTTATCCTATGTTGCAAGTGCACATTGGAGTGTGCATTTGTTTTAACTGTATGTAATTTGTTACTTATGTGCATTGGCGCATGTTGCTGCGGTGTTTTGCTTATAGCTTTAGAGAGAACATATTAAGATAGTTAGATAAATGGATTCCAATTCAACACGAGCCAAGTGTAACAATGCATAATTTAATAAGTTTTGTTCAGTCGGCTCGCGTTATGAAGGAATCCCCTATTCAACAACACAAGTTGGCCAAACATCCATAGCTTCAAATACATTTATTTTCCTGAACAGGTCTATACAGGAAATCCGACGAGAAATTCTGTCGTCATTCATAAAATTTGGCTTATTGGTTATGGTTTTATTTTATACATTTTGCCACTTATAATACAGCTTACATGAAAGTAACAGAAATATACTTCTGTATATAACCTTTTATCCCTTTCTCCTTTGCGAACAAGAACAGAAATCGAACACCATTTGTCCCCCCCCCCCCTTTTTCTCTTTTGCAAACAAGAGCGGAAATCGAACACCATTTGTTCCGCCCCCTTTCTCTTTTACAAACAAGAGCGGAAGTCGAACACCATTTGCAGACAGATCACGTGTGCTGTATGTAACAACACGAGATATACACGTTTTGTTCAGTCAGCTCGCGTTATTGAGTCTACAGACACATCAGATCATAGAATACAACAGAAGATGGCGTTTTTTTTTTATTGTAAATGTAGATTTAATGAAAGATTGCTTTTTATACCCTCGCTTGAAAAATTGGAGGGTATGTATATAGTGATTGGGATGTCTGTCCTATCCTTCTGTATGTCCATCCGTGCGTCTGTCTGTCTGTCTTTCTGTTACGTTTTGCGGTACCCATCTCTTAACTCAAACTCCTCTTTTACCACGGAATAAAATTTAATGATGCTTTTTTCACAGAATCTTTGTTATATATAGCCATTGTGCACCTCTCATTTTATTTTTTGATCTGATACATAAATTGGGTTTCCCATAGCAAAACATTGAATCTATCATTCTATAATATTGAAGGGTATATCCATCTCTTATCCACAGAATAAAATCTAATACAATTCTCTGTTATCCTTGGACTTTCAGTAAGGTGTGGTTCATGTATTCTCGACGTTATATAATTATCGTCAGAATTTACACAGCCTTTCATCCGCTGTTGAAATATACATGAGAGAGAAATTCAGGCGAATATCAACGAGTGAAGCAAGGATCCAATGACAGCTTCTCGTACGGCAAAGAGGTGGGGCGTTAGTCGTCTCATCGTTGTCAACAACATTCAAAGTTGCATCAAGAGGTGGGAAAACCCCCCACTCATTGATTTTTTTTTTTACAAGTGTTATTTTATCATTTTGTTGCATTGATAAGACTCCGCTTGAACGCACACAACACAGGTAATCAACAGAGAGGGTGCCATAGAGATCGTGAAGTCACAAGATCACAGTACAATGTAGTTAGGTACCAACAACAGAAAACTGCATACTAGTAGTTACGGTGCTGCTCAGTAATATTCTTTTGCTGATAAAATGCATGTTTTTAAACAATTTAAAGTTTTTTTGCTCATTTTAAAAATTAAATAATATAATTTTTTTTTAACCAATAGTTTTGACAGATTCTCCAGGTTTTTTTTTTTGTAATTTTTTTCTTTAGTTTGAAAGAGGGTGTTGCAGAAACTCGCGATTATTCCCTATATATCGAGAAGGACATTTAAATACCCTTGTTATGTCTAAATATAGATACAGCTACGTAGAGGACAATCTTTACGGCGGGTATTCCCTGCTTGATACAGTAAAACACTTTCGTCATTTTGCATAAGGGATGCCACGTAAAGCAGCATTTTACATCGAAAATATTTTTCATGAAATCCACAGGCTATATGACATTTTATTTGTTTCAAATTAAATAGAAATGACCAAAATTGCTGTATGTAAAAAATGAATAATTCAAACAATACAGTAATTTTATTTTCCAAGATAAAACTAAATAAAGCATTAGTTTTAAGTCACACCATATCAAAGAAAACAATTTAATCCTGCATTTCTAATATATAGATTAGTACTAAGTAATTGATTAACTTCTTGACATTCTCCCTCCTCCTCCTCCTCCCCCACCCTCATCTCTTTCAGTATATATATAATTACATTGCACACATTACATATAAAAAAAATATATTTTACTTTTTGGAAGCCCAAGTATTAACAGATGATGTTGCAGGGCTATTTAGAGTACACATTTTGCATTTCGTTTGGAAAATAATTTTTATTCAATTTTTGCGTTTTTCAAAAAAGAAACAAAAATCGGAAATGGCAGTTTTGAAGAAAATTCCTGCCTCTTTGGTTATATATATATTTTTTTCAGATAATGTTTATAAAAAGGAAAACATTTATTTTGAAATAATTTTCACATCATTTAACGGCAAATTTTTTATATTGTTTCTCGTTTTGCTTTATATATTCTTTGAAAAAAATTAATACGAGTTTCTGCAACATAAAAATTCTTCTTTCTCTCTCTCTCTCTCTCTCTCTCTCTCTCTCTCTCTCTCTCTCTCTCTCTCTCTAAAATTGTCAGATTTAACAATTTTTGAAAGCAAAGTCTAAAGTCTTGCGTTAAAGTTTAATTAAATTTTAAAAATTTATTAAAAATTTGTGATGATCGGTCTTTAAAAAAGCTAAAAAAAAAAAAAAAAAAAAGTACTCCCAAAATGCTGGAAAATGCACCCCCTCCCATGCCCTCCCCCTTCGGCCCCTTGGGCCTCAACCCCCCCCCCCCCCCCACATGAACTTCTGGATCCGCCACTGCTCATGTTATTAAATTTTTAACCAATGAGTATCTATCCGCCATTTTAGAGACGCTATTTACGTAGCGTCGAGAATGCCACGTCTTACATCATTGAAATCCAAGGATGACAGAGAAATGTACTGATGCTACTTTACAGATTCTTTATTACAAGATGCATTATATTTTTACTTTTTGGAGCTAAACGAAAATATATTTTTCAGATAATGTTTAAAGAAACAGAAATAATTCGAACATTTTTAATGTCTCTTATACAGTGACTGTTTATTAATGGAGACACACATCGTACAGCTATAAGAAACTTATACATTATAATATTATTTTTATCATTTATTCCAAGCTCTCTGATTGGCTCAAACTTGATCACATGATTAAGTATATAACAGCATAAAGACTTGAGTTACTATTTATAGAATCTGAAATGCATAATGACTTGATGAAATGAAGTTAATAAAACAAAAAAAAAATATATACTGATATCACAATTAATTGTATGAAAAAAAAATATATATTTTTTAATGTTCTGTAATTGATGAGACGTAACAATGCCTTGAATAAGGATCAATACTTTATATCGAAACATATTGAATATGTTTGTCAAAAATTGATACAAAACATAATCAAAACAAATGTAGTACATGTATTTTGAATATAAGTAAATCATCCAAATTACTCCATCGATATAAAGGAAACACGATTCAATAAACTGTTTAATTTATTTATAGTATTTTGATCTCTATTCTCTAAGGGTTAAAGAAAGAAAAACTTGTACCTTGTTCCCATTTTTTTCAAATTGTGTTTTGTCCATCTATTCAAAAAATAATATAATAAATGTAGCCCTTTCATTCGGTCAATCAAATAGATATATTTATCGACCTCACAGAAAAGCATATCGACCTCGTACTTCGTGCTCGGTCAGTTTGCTTTTCTGTGAAGTCGATATATCTATGGATCCACTTCATCAAAGGTCTATATTTATAAAGTATTCAAATATTATAGCCTCATAAGAACAAGATGTATCATTTACAGAAAATTTTCTTTTTTAGGCAGTTCGATCCTGTTCAGCCTAAGATCGATATCATTGAAAACAGTTATATGTAATTAAAATCTCCGAAATTAATGTTCCTGGTTCAGAACTTTTGGGGGAAAAAAAAAATAAAAGAAAAGCTTTTTATCGATAACTAATTGCTTGTTGAAAATAGAATAATAGACGGAATACTTGAATAATGAAAATATGTTAAAATGATACAGTAATTTCAAGATAATTCATAGATCTATACAAAATGAATTTTATAGATAAATATTATCTCATATCACATTATTCTCAAAATACAATCCGCGTGGGCTGGTTCTTCACTTGCATTTATTTAGATGTTTTCTGCCATTATTTCTGCGCGCACGTTTTTCCATTTTCTCCACGTAAGCCTTGACACGACTGTCCATTTTCTCTGCTTTCTTCCTCAATACATCATCTGTTTTAAGTTGCACTTCGTTGGCTCTCATGGAAATCTTTTTCAATAGATTCTTTTGTTTTAACCTTGCCTCAGTTATGCCTTTATCAATTTTGGCATTGAAAGTAGTTCCGGTTTCTTTTGGCGCCCACAGTTCACGTTTTCTTCTGATTTTAGGGCGGTACTTGAATTCAGAATTCTCCCAAAGACTTTCTTGCTGGGCATACCAATACTCTTTTTGGAAAATGAACGGTGGTACCCCTCCACTTATCAGCGTCTTAATGATGTCATGGGTTCCGTAAGCCAAAGTATTCACACAGCGTTGATCCACACCACGATTACCATATGTAATCGATGGGAAATAAATAAAATCTTGAGAAGTAGGTTCTTCCGTCAGAACCTTTTCCTGAACATCTAGGCCGCGTTTTGTTAATATTCCTCTCATAGGTTTGATGAGAGGCAACTTGGGCCTTTCATTTTCTGAATTTGCCATTGTATTCTACACTGTGTGTAGATTATTGTGACGTAATTGATTGTGACGCCAATTGATTGTGATTATGATATTGTGTAAAATATTTTGTGCCCTAAAAAAAATCAAAAAAATACAGAGACATTTGATTTTTTAAACTTTTATTCTAATGAAAAAAATATTTTAAATATCAATATAAATGATAAGACACTGACAATATCTTAATAAATCATAAAAGAAGCTGAATGTAAACAAACACATTCTGTCCTGAAATAAGTATGTGTATTAATTTGGTATATGATTATCAAAAATCCTTACGCTAATGAACTATGTTCTTTTTATGAAGTTTTCAAAGTCATTACTACTAATGTTTATTTTATTAGATAAAACGTCGTTTTTTTTTTTTTGCTTCATTTAGCGTTTGTATTTCTCAAAAGCATGCTTAGTTTTCGTAACTTTAAAATGGCGACTATGGGGTCAGCATCCTGCCTTGAACAGGATCACAAAAGCCGGCAATTGCTCTTTGAGCAATCAATTTTTAAACGTTTTTTTTAATTAGCTTAAATATGAATGAAAAATGTGTTGAAAAAAATCACATATATAGGCACGTATTAGTTTACAAACCGTAAATTTTTCATTGTAAGTATAGTTAACGATTCGTTAAGTATAGTTTTCATGTAAAACTATATTTAACGGTTGTTAACTATAGTTTACGAATGATAAAAAAAAGTTAAATTAGATTTTGTTGAAAAAAAAACGTTTGAAAGTATAGTTTACAATCGTAAACTATAGTTAAGAGTTGCAATAGTTTCACAAATCGTGAAACTATATTTATCAGATCGTTATCTATAGTTAACGGTTTGTAAACTATAGTTTACAAATCGTGAAACTGTATTTATCAAAAAAATCTACGTTTTGCAATCGCAAATGATTGTTTTCAGTGTTAAGTATAGTTTACGGTTGTGAAACATAAATCGCGTTAAATGTATGTAAAATATTTTACGTTGTTAACTATAGTTTACAGTCCGTAAACTATAGTTTACAACTGATTAATTTGGTATATGTACATTTCTAAGTTTTATGCAGAAAAGCTTCAAACTGACCCATTTCTACATGCTTATTTTCTTTTAGAAAATTAAGTCTGCAGCCGTCGCTCACTTCAGTTTTTGGATATGTTGTGTAAAATGTGTTGAAAAAAATCACATGCATGCACGTATTTCTAAATTTTTCATTGTGGGCGATGCATGAACTTTATGTTTTCTCAAATAAATAAAATAAATAAATTAAAAAAACACTGAAAATGATTTCTTCTGCAAATTCAAAATAGAATACGGGAAAAAATATACAAGTTCATGACGTCACAATTAGCATTTAGGGTGTCATTTTTGAAAAACAAATGTAGGCTATATTTTTACTGCATAGAATATCAAGAATGAATTTCTTACATCAATCTAAATGTTAGAAAAATACAGAGCCAGGTTTATGTATTGAAACCGTACCTTGATATGTATATTTATGTATACAAAATTCTAAAAATGTAAGAGATATTAGTTACACATTGAAGTCTTTTAAAAAGGAATTTTGAACAAAGAAAGATAATTCTATATTAAAATACAATTTTCTGGATATCGTGTAGACAGAAATTTATTTATCTATTTATTTATTTATTTATTTATTTATTTATTTATTTATTTTATTTTATTTTATTTTATTTTATTTTGTTTTAATTTATTCCGGACATGAACTCTCCCCGATCCAAATTTTATCTCGAATTCGTACTTATCCGGAATTTTGGTCATGTGATGTCAACAAAACCCCTCAAATCGAACAGATGTCGAAGTAACGATTTCTACAACGTGATGGAAAGATGGACGGTTATTTAGGCGTGGTAAATATATAACGATTCTAAATAGTATTGTTCTAATGCTAGTAAAACACAGTCACTTATAAATAATTAATTAAGGACTGAGGGGAATCAGTTTATGAGCTACATGTGTCTATGGAAATCCATAGCAAAGGTATAAAAACATGTATAGTACTAAGTTTTTATTTGAAATAGCAATGTTTCGTTTAGCTTTTGATAACACTTTTTCATCATTTATACCTCTACGGACCACATTTCATCTGAAATTTTATTACACCTTTGCATAAATCAGTGATGCCAAAGAATTCTATAATTTCTTTCTTTTTTCATGGTTTTATAAATTTAAGTTTTTTTGGAAAGTTAGATTTAATGAATAGTAAATCATTTTGTCTAAAACATTTAAAGATTGCATGTGAGCAAGTTTCATATGTACACATGTACTTCAATTAAAATATTTAGGAGGGCCTGTGCTAGATAGAATAATCTAACTGTGTTTTGGAATACGCCCTCACCACAATTTAAACCGAGTCCGACTCAGACAATATCATTATAAAGATTGAATTTTGACATACTGAGGAGGGCCTGTATTGCAGTCCCTAGACAAAGTTAGATTAGTCTACATGTACATGATGTATAACTACACACACACATGCTAAGAGTGCACTAGAAATATTCAAGTTTAATAGGGTGCATGGAGTGATCACAAACTCAGAGAGACAGCAAGGCAAATAGATCATAATGTTGCTTCTTTTGAAATAACATTGTAGGAGAAGAGTAAGCTGCAAAACTTTTACAGGTATTAGAAATGGCAATCTTTTCTATTAATTAAGTGGAAATATTTTAAATTTCTTTTAGAGTTTCCCATTATTGCAAAAATATTGAGCAAGTTTTTGAACTTCAAAGTAAAAATATTGACCAGATCATCATCAGAATCAAGATAAATTTAGAAAGCTTCCAAGATTGTCAGGGAAAACAATACAACCATTGGGGCATATGAAATTTTTAATTGATTACCTTAAAAATCTTGACCATTCCATCAATTATCTGACTTGCCTCTTCAAACCTCACAAGAACTAAGACAGGCAAAATAGTGATGTATATGGCAATGACATCATAATATTTTATATAGAGAAGATGATGGCTCATTTTAATACTCCAACTCAACAGTTGATAGTTGACAGTATTAGCTGCACTTTCATTAAACAAAGTCAAAATATGCAATCTCTACCCAGAGTTGTAATTCCACTTTTACCTCTGTCAATGTCTAGAAAGTTGTACGTATGCAAACACGTGAATTTTTTTCAAATGTTGTTCAAAATGGGCCACGGGAGGGTTAAAACGTACATTTCTGAATAATTTGTCAATGCTGCAAGATGTTTGTTTATAAGAACTCAACATGTTGATATTTTTTGGCAATGCATCTTAAACTTTCCACGTTTTCCACGTTTTCAATATATCCTGTCGAGAAATAATCCCTTGTAAGAGGTATATCTTTTACTAATTCTCATAAATAATCTTTGATTTAAGATTTAAGTCAATCTGAATTATATAAAACTTCAAAATTTATAATTTATGATGCAATAGGCATAGGCGTCGGAACCGGGGGGGCTAGCCCCCCCACTTTTTTTCCAAATATATACTTAGTATAGACATTGAACATATCTTCGTAGGTTTAGCCCCCCCACTTTCCACAGATACGTCTTAGTATAGGTTAACAATGGGGAAAGTGGTGGTGTTGGAAGAAAATTTTGGTACTGGAGTTCGAACATACCCTCCCCCACCCCCACCCCCACGAAATAGGATTTTTGTGTTTGGGAAGTAGACATTTCCTTTTTTTTTTTTTTTTTTTTTTTTGCTTGTTAGGTTTTTTTGAAGGTACAAGAAATTTCTTTTTACACTTAGCCCCCGACTTTTAATTTGCTTCCGACGCCAATGATAGGTAAAAGAAGATTTTGCCAAGAATCTTGGCATTTGGACGCTGACGGAGGTGTTGCAATGAAGTGTAATACTCCCTCTGGTGAGAGATTGGTCAAAATGGTGCAACTATTGAAAAGGCATTAAGCCTAATTATAATAAGGGAAGATGCAATTATTACGCCAAGATTATTTTTTTGCATCAATTTTGATTTTGCATTTACATGTATTGTGTTATTTCATGTGTACAATATGTACATGCACTCATGACTGCCCAATTCAAAAAATGACAGGTACATTATCGATACTCAGTATTAACATATTACTGTACAATATGTATGGTATTGATTATTTATTTCACATTAACATGTACAGGTACCACATGCGTTTATGTCTGTTTGCTTCATTAACTGTAAACGTTTACTCAGCTGGTCACCATAAGGTCATCATAATAAAACCTGTGACAGCTGGGGGCAGGCAATATGCTAACAATTCGGCAATGTAAGTTATACCTTTAATATTAAATCCACCGGTTAACTATAATTTTATTAATTGTTGACCGTCAAGAAATTCAAGACATTGAATTTTGAGGGTTTTTTTGTGTGTGTATAATTTTATCATTACGAGGGGTTATCAAAAAGTTCGTAGACTGAGGCTGTAAAATTATTACTATGTTGTCTGAGCTTGCAAAATTTATAAGGAACATTTAGAACAACAAAAAATAAAGAAATGTTGAAAATTTTAGCTTGATACGTTCATTATTACCCAAATTATTAAAAAACAAAAATGACATCATTTGATCTTCTGTCGCTGTTTAGTTTCATGACGTCCGACAACGTAATTATTTTTCAATGTCTGCTTCTTCTACTTATTACACTAATTTTAATGAGATTCCCTGGAGCTTAAAGTAAGTTCTTCAACCCGTCTTGTTTATATGACTTTACAATGTCATGATCAGCGGATTTAAATGCATATGATATTACAAATGGATTTATACACTGGGAGAGATACTCGCTTGATTGTGCCAGCATATTTTGCTTTTTGGAGTTCAATATATCTAAAACACATGATCAACATCAATATTTAACATGGTTGATTTTTCACACCTTGACTACAAATCAACATTAACTGTGCATCCCTTTTCTCTCTGAATCTATTTTGGCAGTAAAAATCAAGTAATCTGGATGCATTCTATTTCTCCGTATAGCCAGTTTCAACATTACCGAGGTGTATAGCCATTTTTCATAGAATATTTGAAAAGGAAACCCGTTCCCCCTTTTAACGCTATTTTCAAGGCAATATTTGTTTAGATACTCCATATAAAATTTACAATAAATGTCAGAACTTCCAGAATGAGATAAAAATTCCATATTTTATGGAACAATAGTGTCCCAACACATACCTGAATTAGCGGGATTTTTGGATGTCAAATGTTCATATCAAAATAGTTTTTATTAGTTAAACTTAGGCACTTAGCTGGAAAAAACGTCGTTTTCGAGGTTGCGCCACCTGGATATACCATTGTTTACAAAAACATTACTAATTTATTTCATAATAAAATTCATGATTTGTGGTTTATTCCATGGAAAGAAAAGATGATGATAACTATATATTTTAAAATTCATTGATGTACTTAAAGCTGTTTTAATTTTATGGCGCCAGTCCACGAACTTTTTGATAGCCCCTCATATATACTATGCAATTTTTAAAAGTGAAAAATTTACTATCTTCTAGAACTATTTTGAGTTACCATAACTTAAGGAAATTCTTTTCTGAAACAATATCACATTTCAGAACAATAGGAGAAAATTAAGAAAAAGAGAATTTTTGTTCTTCTTTAGGGAGATATAATTTTTCCATGTGAAACAAACCGCCACACAATATTGACCTTATACTGACTGGTCAGGAAGTTTAATAACTAAAATAGCATCAACTTAACTTAAAAAGTGAAATTTTCCTTTTGTTTATATTGACCATTTCATATTGAAGTCTTATTTTTTATGTTTGAAGTCTTCTGAGTACTGAAAGTACTTCACTGGGACTTGAAGAGGGTCATTTCCTCAGCACAACACAAATAATTCAATTTTTAATATAAAAGATAAATATAACGTTTCTTGTGACCTTGAATTTGACACACCCGATGGCTTTAGGCACCAGGTATTTATCAAGAATAATGTTTGATAATTCATGCATGATAGAGTAAGGAAAGAAAAGACTTTACACCATCTATCACATGAGATCATGTCAACTTGGCCTTGGTATAGGGTCTCATGTACATACCTGGTATTGTAATTAATGGGAAAAAATATGTTAGTATTAATGCAAATAATGGATGTCTTGTTGTTAGGAGATCAAGTTGTCATTTTACTTACAACAAAAAAAGAGAAAAAGTAGAAGACAGTTCTTGTTTTTTAGAAGATTCATTTAATTTTTATGACATTATTGCAAAAAAAATTTTTTTTTAAATCACAAAAGAATTTAAAATAAATATTTTGCAGGATATTTCAAACCTTGAATAGTGCTAACAATGTCTGGTGAGTACGAAAAGCTGGTAGAAAAATCAGGACCCCCCAGTCCCCCTGGAAATGAAGGAGGGTATGGATCCAATGGAAATAGTCCACCTCAAAACAACAGAGGACTGCAGTTTGGGAGAGTGGGAGGGAGTCTGAATGAGGAACAGTTGTCCCCCTCAGAAGAACAGGTGAGGGGAGGAAATGTACTCAACTTATTTATAGGTCAACAGGTGAGGGGGGAATGTACTCACATTATTTATACGTTAACAGGTGAGGGGGGAATGTACTCACATTTTTTAATGGGTCAACAGGTGAGGGGGGAAATGCTCTCATCTTAATTATAGATCGGCAGGTGAGGGGGATATAGTCAACTTATTTGTAGGTCAACAGGTGAGGGGGGAGAAATGTACTCACCTTATTTATAGGTCAACAGGTGAGGGGGGAGAAATGTACTCACCTTATTTGTAGGTCAACAGGTGAGGGGGGAGAAATGTACTCACCTTATTTATAGGTCAACAGGTGAGGGGGGAGAAATGTACTCACCTTATTTATAGGTCAACAGGTGAGGGGGGAGAAATGTATTCACCTTATTTATAGGTGAGGGGGGAGTACTCAACAGGTGAGGGGGGAGAAATGTACTCACCTTATTTATAGGTCAACAGGTGAGAGGGGAGAAATGTACTCACCTTATTTATAGGTCAACAGGTGAAGGGGAATGTACTCACCTTATTTATAGGTCAACAGGTGAAGGGGAATGTACTCACCTTATTTGTAGGTCAACAGGTGAGGGGGGGAATGTACTCACCTTATTTATAGGTCAACAGGTGGAGGGGAGATGTACTCACCTTATTTATAGGTCAACAGGTGAGGGGGGAAATGTACTCACCTTATTTGTAGGTCAATAGGTGAAGGGGGGTGGGGGGTGGGGAATGTACTCACCTTATTTATAGGTCAACAGGTGAGGGGGGATGTACTCACCTTATTTGTAGGTCAACAGGTGAGGGGGGGAATGTACTCACCTTATTTATAGGTCAACAGGTGAGGGGGGTTATGCCAACAATTATATGGGCATGTATGGAGAACAAAGCATTACATTACTGTGTCTGGGAAAAGAAATTTGGGAGGGGGAATGTTAATGTTTTTTTTGAAGATGTTGATATTACTGTTGAATAATGAATATATAATGTATTCTGATCGCGCCCACCCAATAAAATGACTGATTTTACTTAATTCTAATGTGTACTCTTTCAATATTTTTTTAAAGGTCTGATTACATGGTTACATTAAGCTATTAAATTTAACTTGAAACTGTCAAGAGATACATTTTCCAAATAATAATTTAGAAAATGTTTAAATAAGGAAACTTATTTGTATTTCAATATTGTCCCCTAAGATCATGCATGGAAGGTACATGCTTTTTCTGAAGATGTTGGATTTTATTAACAGAATTAATATATTTTAGAAAAGAAAAAACATAACATTTACCTTATTTCATCTCCTTTTGCTCAAATAAGAATTGTGAAATTTTAATGTTTTTTTTTTAAATTCTGATTGCATATCATCAAACTTGTAAATTTAACATTTACCTTGAAACCAGCAAAATATGAATATTTTCGAGATTAAAATTTAGGAATTGTTTTAATTAGGAAACATGTTTGTATCCATAGATTCACCCTTAACCAAAGGTGGTGACTTTTCTGAAAATGTTAAATTTTTTTATTAGAGAACTCATTTTAATGATTTTAATTGTTTGCTTCATGACAGCACTATAACATTTAAAACAATTTTTTTTTCAATTTAAATTCTCGTTGCTTATAAAATTAAACCTGTAAATTTAACATTTAATTGAGAACGGCAAGAAATGTATATTCCAACTAATAATTTAGGAAATGGTCGTATAAAGAGATCGACTTCTTTGTATTAACAGACTGCTCCCCAGGGCCGACCCCTCAGGAACCCCACAGCTGTGATACGGTCTGACGGTTATGTTGAGCTGATGCGTGGAAGGGTGCCCTGTCCCACGTGTAGGGGCTCAGGATCAATACCTAAAGGTACTGGAAAATTAAAAACATCAGGGTTGTTTTTAAGAATTCATATAGAAGGGACCATTCAAAAAGTAGGAGGGGGTTTAAGGTTTCTCCCTTAAAAGGGGATGAATATCAGAATAACCAGGGATGATGTCATTATAGGCAGGAAAATTCCCTGGTCCCTGGGTCTTAAAGGCAGAGATTTTTTACCGGGTGGTAAATTCCAGGTGAGGGAGGGGCTTATTTTGTACAGGTGTGAATGCCTTGGGGGCTAGCAGTCTACCTGTGGTCATCTGTCTCCTAAACCCTATACACAGGACGTGATTTAATACACAGTGAAATACCCAGATGTCAAACTTTACCTGTGTTTGGGATTTTGAGACAAATTTAAAATTAGTAATAAAAAGTTTTTTTCAATTATATGTTGATTTATTCTTGACTGTTTGCAAACACCCCTACCCATTTAAAAAATATTATGATATCATTCTATAAATTCAAATATTAAAACAAAGATTGTTTTAGATGTTAGTGTATGTGTTAATTAAAAAAAACAACTCCTGTAACAACCAAATTAGTCTTAATTAATTCATTCACAGGATCCCATCTATTAATTAAATGGAAAGAGAGCCGTTTTATCTGCATTTCACTAAAAATATCTAGGTTTATCCTATAACCTTAATAAGGCTTTGTCACTATGAAACATGCTAAAAAATTTCACTAAAAATAGATCATTATTTTTTAATTTAATTACTTCATACAGTGCTGCTCTGAACTTTATCAATAACATTTCCACTTTAGATTTACCATATAGCATATTAAAATTAAAATACAGTTTCTCTATACCATGTTTGGTAAACACCTTAATAAGGCTTTGTCACCATGAAACATGCTAAAAATTGCTGAATATTTGTAAATTCTTATCTGAATAAAAAAGGAAAAATATAAGTGTTTTAAAATCTACCATGTTTTATAATCATAAATTAGTCAAAATATACATTATTTTTTAATTTAATTACTTCATACAGTGCTGGTCTGTACTTTATCAAAAACATTTCCACTTTAGATATATACCATATAGCATGTGTTATTAAAATTAATATCAAAATTTCTATTAATTAAATGGAAAGAGATTTGAAAATATGTTTTATGCTATGAAACCTAAAAAAGGTTAATTTAAAAAAAAACATGATTATATTATAATCCTTTCAAATACTAACAAAGATTTACCATATAGTATATTTACCATGTTTGGTAAAATTCTTATAATACAGGGTATACATATTATCAATATAATGTGTCTGATAATTGTTTTAAAATCTATTTTCAAACATGTTTTATAATCATAATTATTGCTTTTGTAAGTCAAAATATAAACTTTAAAGGTGATTTGAAATACTCTAAATGATTATAAAAAATTACTTTTTTGAACAAAAAAAATATCAAAGGTACAATCATAAAAATACATATAATTTTTACCCAAAATACAGCCAGAATGCAGGATTTAATTAATTTGAAGGTCACCATGAGTCCCAAACAAGGTGTACAGGGTGCTACACAGGGACAGGGCTAGTAGAAATTAGAAATAGCTAGCCCTGCTGACAACTATGGTTTTAAAGTTAGTGTCGATCCCTGATCTAATGATGGACCTTCATGCACTTGATTGACAGGGTTACCCAGACCAGGTATTTTTGAAGGCGGTGCTTAAAATCTCTGCCTTTAAGAACAGCCCTGAACAATGCTCAGCTGAGTGACCCAAAGTTGTATCCCCCTAAACCTGAAATAATAAAAAAAACCCATAACAGAGCCTGTGTTTTATGGGTATAAGTGATAAAAAGATGTATCCCAATGAACATGAAATAAAATAAACTACAGAGACAGTCCTTAATGTTTGGATGTTTTACTGACAATAAACTATAATCGCCAACTTAAAACTTAACTGTTTGCAGGGTTCTCCATCATTTCAAATTTGACTTTTTTCTTAGCCACAGTGCTCAGGTGAGCATTGTGGCCCATGGACCTTTTGTTACATTATCATCGTATTAATTTTATAGAACAAGAAAATGAGCTGGTGGCCTTGATTCCAGTTAGAGATGATAGACTGAAACCTAGACGAACGTAAGTGCTTAATCTCAATGAAAAAAAAAAACACTCAACAATCAATGTTTCCCACATAAAGGAACTTTAATTCATTGAAATATCACTTTAAAAAAATGTTGACAATTTATTGTACATTGATTACAGAATTGTGAACAGTGAAAATAATCAGAGAAAATTCAGGCTAAATTTCTGCCCATAAGTCTTTTTTGAAAAGAGTAAACCATGTTCATTGTATTAATTGTATTTTATTATGAATTATTGGATAAGGTATGCTGCATTTCATTGATGTGAATTTTATTCACATTTTTCATGTTATATTAGTATAATGAAATACATATATATGTGTTTATTCTATTCATCAGGTGCTTGTATGTTTCGCTGGCGATAACAGTGTGTTTACTCACGGCAGGATTGCTTATTTTCTTTATGTTTCCAAGAGACGTTAAAATCAGCAGCGATGTAAAATTACTTCTCCCTCATAATCTCACTATAGATCTTCAAAATAAGTCAGTGGTTTTCTTTGTAGTGGTAAGTAGTAAAACATAAATACATTGAAACTTGTGTAATCTGGATGTTGTGTATACCAAAATCTTGTCAAATACAATGTAAACTTCAAGTTCCTTAAATCTTGTACAGTACAACTCGGTTATAACAAAGTCACTGGTAACTATGAAATTACTTCGCTATATCTGTTATTTGTTATCATATCCGTATAAAGAATTCGTTAAATTTGATAGCTGGGGATCCAAGATAACTTTGCAATATCTGTGAATTCGCAATATCCATGTTCGTACTAAACGAGTTTTATTATAATGTAATTAGAATTTTTAATTGTTAAATTGTTAAAAGTATTGTGTAATCCAGAATTTTGTCTACTCCAGCCAAATTTTTCGAAGCAAGTGGTGGCCTGATTAGACAAATTTTATTTTACTTGATAATCAATGTCAAATGCACATAAAGATAAAGTACACCATAGTATCCAAAGGGCATATATTCAGGGATTTGTGGAGGTCACTTGAGTGGAATAGTCCTCAAAGAATTTTTTAGTATCTTTATTACATAAGTGAAGAATTAGGAGGTTGACAAAATTTGTGCTTTGATATAATTATAAATTGTAGCTTATATATTACATGTACTTTACATAATACTAAAAAAAATTTTCTTTGCTTATCTTTCTACATTTTTCTTATAATGATGAAAAAATGTTTTTCTTCAGAATCCATTCAATGTGACAAACTCGAATTATTTTGCGATAAAGATCTCGGATGTGACAATGTCGGTGGTGTTTTCAGAGAAAGTGCTAAATCAGACCAGTGTCACTGTCGATAAAAGTGTCCAAGTCAGGTCCCAAAACTCATTCTCTGTTCCTATTGGTATAGCATTTAATAAGAAAAATGGATTTGCTGAATTAGTGTAAGTTGTATTTTTTTTTGGCTCTAGAATTTTTAATTCAGTAATCTTTTTCTGGTATGTATCACATTTTTTCATTGTAAATTGAAATTTTTATTTTTATTCTTTCTTTCAATATTTCTTGAATGAGTTATGTTTTTTGTTTTTTTTTTGTTGTTGTTGTTGTTGTTGTTGTTTTTTTTTTTTTTTTTGGTTTTTGTTTTTTGCTTTTGAAAAAGAATTTGCTAATGAATATTTTAAATGATGTACTCATATCATTTAATATGATACAAAATAAGAATTCAAAGGTAGCTACTTTGCAATGTAAACTAAGTTTACGTCGCATAACCATGGTTACAATTATGTTTATTTATTTCAGTAATGATTGTGCTGAGCCTTACACTTTCTATCACAGAAGAGTTATGTATTTCACGTAAGTTTTGATTTTTGTAACGTTCAGTTAAGGACAAAGGATATTCAAAATAGAATATATATAAAAGTATTTGTACTGGCCTAATTTTTTGCTAAAGCATATATTTATTACAAAATTTTCCCTATCAAACCAGCCTTATTTTAAAATTCTACCCAAATCTATGCTTTGAAATCTAGAGTGAAATTCAGTGCTAAAACAAGAAATAATAAAATCCATTTAAAAAAATTTTAACCTTCCAAAAACTTATATAAATATTCCTATGAAAACTGTGTGTAATGAATGATTCACTAAATTTTCTCTGTGTCTTCTCTGTCTCTAGGGTGACGGCCAGCTATAACTTCCTGGGTAGGGACGAAGAAGCTTCGTTCAATACGTACACAGTAGTTAGTTGTGGGAATGACACCTTGAGTCGATAACACTTTGAGTCGATAAGGCCTTGAGTTGATGAAAAGGTTAAACACAGCTGTGATTTCAATGAACAAAATGGGCATTTAAATATCATACTCAGAATATTGGCACTATATTTTTGATTTTGTTTACTGTATTTCTTCTAATGCTATTTCAAGGAAAGAGTTACTGTAACTGTTCCTTTTTGAAAATATATCCCTATGTACCGGTACATTATCTTGTATCAGATTTTAACATTGTCTGTAATTGTCATATTCATGCATAAGTTGACACACAGCTGAATTTCAGAGACAATGTAAATATTTTTCTGTAAAAAAAAATCCATACTTAAATGTTCATACAAAATCATCATGATTTTGTACAAGTATAATATTACTTGTATCAATGTTAATTATATTATTATGTTACTTGCATTATGACATATTATGTGGAGTAGTCAGGAAGTTTCCTAGAAGCCATGTTTGTATTACCATAAAGTTCTTCTAGGACCATACATTATAAACATATCACATAATTATAAACATTTAGACTTTATGTTTACATATCGGTAATCATGATAATGTAATAAAATGATCAAATAACATTCAAGAAAAGTTTTCAAATGTGATAAAATGATATTATTATGTCGAAAATAAGAATGTTCACATCACAGAATGCAGCAATGTATGATATGAAATATTTAGAACTTATTTTTCACATTTTTAATTATAAAGAGTTGCTAGTCATTTATTGTGCCAAGTGTGGTTTGAATCTAATAAGTGGAGCATGCTTGACTTGTGTCTTTAATTTTTATCATTCATTACCTAATTTGCTCATAAAATTAGTTCTGGAAATGTAGTCAAATTATGTCATCAAAAATAGCATGTCTACTGATGTAGGAACAAGGCATTCTGTGACTTAACAGTTCGAGGTGTCAGAAAATTGTTTGTAAAAAAAAAAATGAAGTCCCTATAAGATTTGCCTGTAGAAATTGTTGTCATTCAGAAAAAGTTGGTTTTAGACAGAGTAAGGAATGGCAAAATCTTATGTGCTCTGACTGGCTTAAACAAGATGTGTTTTATGAAACACTGTACCAAAAGTAAGGCCTTTTCACAAGAAATACAAATGCAAAAAATATAAAACGCTAGCTACACCTGTTTAAGGGTTATGACCAAGGTTAACATTTTATAAGATAGGACAAACTCTGGGTCAAGGTCAAAGGGTCAAGGTTGTTGGTTTCTAAAGAAAGGCCTTGTCTCTAAGATTACATTTGGGAAGTATGAAAGCGCTGGCCCTTACAGTTCAAAAGTTATGGCCAAGGTTAAAGTTTGTAAAAAAGTAGGTCAAACTCTAAGGTCAAGGTCAAAGGGTCAAGATTCTTGACATCAAATGAAAGGTCTTGTCACAAGGATTACACATGTAAAATATGAAAGCTCTAGCCCCTACTGTTCAAAAGTTATGGCCACGGTTAAAGTTTGTAAAAAGTAAGTTAAACTCCAAGGTCAAGGTCAATGGTCAAGGTTCTTGATATTAAATGAAAGGGCGTATAACAAGAATTAAATTTGTGAAATATGAAATGCCTTAGTCTTATCCCTTCAAAAATTATGGTCAGGGTTGTATTTTTAAAGTAGGTCAAACGTCAAGGTCAAAAGGGTCAAGGTTCTTGGTCCAATGAAAGGTCTTTTCACAAGGATTATATATTTGAAGTATGAAATCCCTAGCCCTTATTGTTAAAAAGATATCGCCAAGGTTAAATTATTTCATAGGTACAGACTTCTCCAAGGGCAAAAGGTTAAGGTTTTTTGATATCCAATGAAATGTCTTTCCACAAAAAATATATATGTCAATATAAAAGTCCTGGTATCTACAGTTCAAAAGATATGGCCAAAGTAAAACTTCAAAATTTTTGTGTAAAAGTGGGTCAAACTCCAAGGTCAAAAGGTCAAATTTGGCGGTACCCAAAGAAAGTTAATACACATGTGAAGTATGAATGTCATAGCTCCACTAAATCAAACGTTATAGGCAAGGATAAAGTTTTTGCGGACAAACAAACAGACAGACAGAGACAGACGGACGGACACGACAAAAACTATATATCCCCGAAACTTCGTTTACGGGGGCATAAAAAAGGAAAGAACATAACTTGTTTTCATAAATCATTATTCATAGATCTTGTTTGTTTGAAGGGATGGCAGTGTAATTTCATTTTGTTTAATTTTTTACGGAGATGTTTGAATGAATTTAGTTAAAATGACATGGGGTGACGGTTAATGTTCACTTGGACTCGAATTTGGATTCAGTATGTACATCATTTGCAATGTTCATTTACATATCTTATCTTCATATACATGTATTAGTTTATCAAATGATGTTGTCCCCACTGATCACCATAGAAACGCTGAATATGACTATACCTTCATCGACATACTTCATGTTTACATGTACTTGTCAATTATATGTATGTACTTCCAAGTTATAACTCAAAATTGTGATTTAAATTTGTGTCAGAAATGCTTAGATTGAATTTTAATTTATTTCATTGACTTTATTTGTATACATATATCTCACTTCAACATGGTGTTACATGTATTAAAATATGTTCTTTGCAGTATGAGTTTTTATTGTTTACTTAATATTTTATGGTAATTTCTTTGTTTTCTGTTGCATATTCTGTACAGGTCCTTATTACATCTGCAGTTTTAAAGATTATAAAAGAGAGATAACCCTAGAAATCGCACACAGACCATGATCCTCAGTGGTGAAAATATAACAATAAGACAATACTTTCCCAGTACATATATTACAGCAGCAGAAGATATATAATGTGCAACTATATGTTCGAGAAGTGGTGTAAATGAAATGTGGATGCTTAAAAAATTCCAATGAACTTTTTGAAATCATAAAATTTTACCAAAATCAATGATATAAAACTTTTCAAATCTATTCACAACTATTCTCCAAGATAGATTAATGTCCAGGCGTTTTGGCATCATTGACAGCTGCCTTTTCAATAAAAGTGGAAATTCATATAAAGTTTAATTACTTTGTCATTACAATTGGTCATTTCAAAGTGAAGTTGTTAAAACATTCTAATTGTACACACGTCAAGTTGATATGCCTGATTTTCTGATCGACATTATCTTTGTGGTTTTTGGAACCAGGTCTTCCAACAATCAGTTGGAAATTCCCATCGGTACCAACTGCACTTAGTTCTAAACAGACCTATTTTATATTCATATAATGCAGAATTCTTTAAAATCTTGAATATGAGAACAAGAAAATACCTGCTCTTGCCTTCAAATCGAGAATTAGATATATCGACGACGTATTAACATATTAACAATAGTTATTTCCTTTCATATGTCGACAGAATATATCCGTTAGCTTGAAGATACCATAGAGTCTGAATTAGTTTAATAATGGGATATAAAATTACAAAAGACCTTATTCAATAGCGAACAACAAAGCTTTTCAATAGCCAGTCCCCTTACTTGTGCAGCTACTAGCCTTATCACCTGCATACGGAACTCATGTCTCTCTGTTGAAACGATTGGCAAGAGCTTGTTTACATATGAACAATTTCTAAAACGAGATACGACATGTAGATAAAGGTAGGTTATTGACAAACAAGTTGATGGAACAAAAATATCAATAGTCTCGTTGAAATGTAGATAAAGGTAGGTTATTGACAAACAAGTTGATGGGACAAAAATATCAATAGTCTCGTTGAAAGTGACTATTTCGTAATTTATATTATATTTGGACCGTCGATACAATGACCTAGTCATCTTGTCAGCAAATACTATCTATTATTAAATCAAATGATGCAATATTGACGTTTTTTAAATACTTATTGTAAAGCTATTATTTACATACTGAATTTTTACGTTATTTCCCGATTATGACAAGGAGCACACGGCAAAAGTGACCTGCTGGCAGGGGGATTTTCACTCCTCGATGACACCTGATCCCATCTCTGATGTTTTAGAAGTTCATGTTTGCTCTGCTCCTTGTGTAAATTAAATTGTTTAAATGGAATTGTGTCGACTCTATATATCCCAGTTAGCTTGACATAAGCAACAAGGAAAAAAAAGAGTCTAACACATCTGCTTCATATATGAACATTTTACTGGAAAAAGTCAATGGCGCTAAAAATAACATACCAACAAAAATTTTTGAAAAACGGGATGGCTTCAACTTTATTTTTATAATCAATTTAAAAATATGGCAATTTACTTTTCTCACCTGCATATGTCTCCCATTTGACTCAATACGCAAAAATATGCTCGACCTACATGTAGAATAAATTCAAAAACATGACAAGCTATTGAGAGCGAGGCTTACTCCTTCGCCTTATCCCACCTCTGCTATTTGTAGAGGTCAGCGTTTGCCCTGCTCCCGTTTTATATTGCTACAATGGAGCAGGGCAAACGCTGACCTCTGTTTATGTATTGCTATGTAACAAAATTTATTACATTGAAAAAGTATATTTAAATAATGCTGAGGAAAATGCAATGCATTCCTCTCATTGTTAAAATGAAATTTGGTAAAAAATAATTAACATTGACAAAGCTCAATGTAATAAATTTTGTTACATAGCAATATATAAACAGTTTTGTTTTGTTTGTTTTTTTTCTGTTTTTTTGCATATATCCAATATGACAGACAAACAATGAGCTAGACTGTATTTAATTTAATTTTTGGCTTGATTTAATAATGCTAAAAATAGAATAAGTTGTTGTATCTTACTTAAAAAAGAAAATATTAAAATATCATGATAAGCTTGTTAAAAATTCCAGAAATTAATACTCTGTTGTTGGAGGAGTTTTCTAAATCTGATGTCCACTGTTGAATTGTACATTGTTTTAAATTTGACTTTGTTGACCATAATTACAATTTCAAATTTTTTTGGTGTCATTATTTATCTTTAATACTCAATAATTATATATTTAAAAAAAAAAAGTAAAAAAGAAAACACAAGATTGATGTTTGGTTTTAACAATAAATCATTTATTAACAATAAAAACATAAAAAAAATCATACAGAAATATGAATTATGCTAAATATTTTTGGAGCGGTAAAATATACTGAAACAAGAGGCCCAGGGGCCACAGCGCTCACCTGAGCACATTGGCTTGGAAAAAGCACATATCAGATCAGAAATGAAAGTTTACGGGGGGGGGGGGGGGGTGAATTTTAACCCCCCCGGGGTTCATGATTTGAACAAATTAGAATCTACACTACCTGAAGATGATTCTATATTAATATCACTAATCATAGCTTTGAAGTACTTGAAAAGATGATTTTAAAAGGTTTCCCTATAAATCCCTATGTAAAACTTTGGTCGGCCATTTTGGCCCCACCCTAGCCCCGGGGGTCATGATTTGAACAAACTTGAATTTACACTACCTGAGGATGATTCCACATGAGTTTCATCTTTCCTGGCCCAGTGGTTCTTGAGAGGAAGATTTTTAAAGATTTTTCCTATATATTCCTGTGTAAAACTTGGGTTGGCCATTTTGGCCCCACCCTAGCCCCGGGGGTCATGATTTGAACAAACTTGAATCTACACTACCTGAGGATGATTCCACATGAGTTTCATCTTTCCTGGCCCAGTGGTTCTTGAGAAGAAGATTTTTAAAGATTTTTCCTATATATTCCTATGTAAAACTTGGGTCGGCCATTTTGGCCCCACCCTAGCCCCGGGGGTCATGATTTGAACAAACTTGAATCTACACTACCTGAGGATGATTCCACATGAGTTTCATCTTTCCTGGCCCAGTGGTTCTTGAGAAGAAGATTTTTAAAGATTTTTCCTACATATTTCTATGTAAAACTTGAGTCGGCCATTTTGGCCCCACCCTAGCCCCGGGGGTCATGATTTGAACAAACTTGAATCTACACTACCTGAGGATGATTCCACATGAGTTTCATCTTTCCTGGCCCAGTGGTTCTTGAGAAGAAGATTTTTTAAAAATGCCATTAATTTTTCTCTAATTCATAATTATCTCCCCTTGGAAAAGGGCGTGGCCCTTCATTTGAACAAACTTAAATCCCCTTTACCCAAGGATGCTTTGTGGCAAGTTTGGTTGAAATTGGCCCAACGGTTCTTGAGAAGAAGTCGAAAATGTGAAAAGTTTACGGACAGACAGACAGACGGACAGACAGACGGACGGACAGACGGACAGACGGACGCCGGACAAAATGTGATCAGAAAAGCTCACTTGAGCCTTCGGCTCAGGTGAGCTAAAAAGTAATATTTCTTGTAACAAAACAAGAAATTACTATCAAACACCATAAAAAATAATTATCTACACATGTATTTGTACATTTATTCAATGTAAAAACCATCCTCTTGATAAATAAACATAAAAGTTATCAAAATATATTGATGAAACAACTTTTTTTAATGAAGCAAATTAACTAGCTGACAAATTAATGAATCAACATTACATGCCACGATGTAATGAAAGTTTATACTTTCCTTGTTATATTTATGAAGGTGAGATATTCTTAGGAAGAATACCAAAATTATATTTTCAACACACTCATCTCGCAAATCTTTACGAATTTGAGAGATATCTTCATAGACAATACCGACTTCAGCAAATGTTTGGACTATCTTTTTTGCAAATCACACAGATTACAGATTCATTATACATAATGGTACTTACATTTATTAGCAATGAAGGCTGGTAGAAAGCTTATTAGCAAACTGTTCGCTACAGAACTGTAGCTTTTGGTAAAAAGTGACGTGCTATGAGCTACAATGTCACCCGAAAAAAATTGAATATCATTGCGTACACAAAAAGGTGTGCTGAGTTCTGGATTTATTTCTTCAGATTCTTACCTCAATTGCTCAAAATCTTGAATTAAAAATATTAGTCTGACTTCTGTCGTACCTGACATCTGCTCGAAGCACATGTCCACCAGAAATGGAAGTTCACTATTTCAGTAATAAGAACGTTAACGACAGTAATAAGAAATATTGTTTGCGTAAATAGTGAAAGAATATGTTAGAAATACATGTTAGTAGTGTTTAAATATACGGATAAATAAATCGAGAAACATAATGCACTTTTTTTGTGCGCTATAAATAATTAATACACACTTTTTTCATCGGGTGGCACTGTATAGTTCTCTGTTCATTCATCATGTTCATTGCAATTTTTCAGACCAACAAGCTGTAGATATGCCGTTGACACCTTCAAAGCTAATACTAGTATTCAAAGAATTTCACCAATCATGAAACACTTTTTTTTTTCAAATTTTCGTAACATATATAAAAATGCAATTCACAAAGCACCCTGCATAAAAGATCCTATTAATTTGTATTCATAGTATAACCTTTGTTAGAATTCGTTACTGCACTTCCTCATTTTCTTTGGACTCACAGTTTGGATTAGTAATACCATTTGTCTGAAAATCTTCCATTGGAATGTTATTATTGTCAGCGAGATTCAAGGTGTCGCTTATATCTTGGAACGACGACACGTGCGGGAGTCCGTTCTGGTTGATGTTAACAGACGATGCCGACAGGCGGCGCGTGTTGGTCTGTGACGTCGTCAGACTTTTCCTCCGGTCTATGCTCTGTTGAAGCCGCATGGTATCGTAGGATGATTTTAGATGGGATATAACCTGGATGAATGTAGAATACACTTTTCCACTGGGTGTGAGTGGGATAGTTCTTTTATCAAACCCGCAATTTCCCCGAGGGCTTGATAATAGTTTCTGTCAAGGGATTGATAAAGGAGCTATCCCACTCACACCCAGTGGATAAGCGTTTTATTATACTGATGTATATTATGATTTCTGAGGTTTGAATTTTTTTGGAGTAAGATAATATTGCAAGAATAATCTGAAATCCTGATGACATCACAATGCTACTGAAGTCATTATGACATCATCAGTTCAATAGATTTATCGCTGGAAATCAAAATTGGAGGCAAAATTTGCATGAAAATTTTCCGAGAGTGGATAGCAAAAACTATACCCCGGGGTATAGCTCTCCAATGCATGAACTATAACAGATAGCTATTTTACCTTCTGAACTTTATATAGGAAACATTTTAGCAGAAGTATAATAAAATATTTTATTAAAACCAAAACAACTTCCAATGATCAAGTACAGTTATTGATATCGATGGCTGGCAGCCTGTACTGTTCTAAATCCACTCCATCTAACATACTTTACTCTCTTTGCTTCTCTTCCTCTTTAAGGTTGTTTAAAAACTTTTAGGATATGCTTATTCATGCCCTGTAATTGTTTGGTGAAGGTTTGCGATTTCAAATTCATATGTTAGTAAGGATTTGAAGATTCAATTTTGGCCCTACATTTGCGATTCAAAAATTGCGTCTGTCATGGAACACCTGCTTTTAAGCGTTAACATTTGATTTTTGATTCATTACATATATCAGGTCTTTGTTCTTTACTCTGGAGTTACTCGTGGACTCAAAAGGGTGCGTTTTTTCATCAAAATTTGCCATTAAAATTCTTTAAGTTATATAGTAAGTGTTAAAATTATTTTTTCTTTATAAAATTGTTATCTTAGAACATTTTCGCTATGAAACTGTACTTTTTGAATTTAATTCAAAGTTATGAAGGTGAAACTTAAAAGAATGTTTGTTGGGACCATGAAGTTATCCATTTCTAATGTATGAATGTTCTCTTTAGAAGTTTTGATTGTGTAAAATAATAATAAAAAACTAACCTCCCCATTTGCAAAACAGAAGATCAATGCAACTATGATTCCCTGAAATAAAATAAATACATGTATCATTAAAATATTTTGCTATTTATTTTTTTCCATGGACGATAAATTATATATTTTACCTTCAATCATCTTTTTGTTTCAAAGGATGATAACATCGAAAACAGGATTAATTCACTCTTGATGGCAACTATCAATACTAACCTCTAACTCAAATTAACACAAAACAATTATCATGATTATTATTACAAGAATTTTAAACCTGAGCATTATTGATGATTCCTCCTGCCATCTGGAAGAAATTATAAGCCGAATCCTCGGCCGTGGGTTGATAGATGAGAAAGAACTGGTGAAGTCCAAATAAAGGAATCAAAATGAAAGTGGCCTTGAGGGCCTTTCTGAAAATAGATAGAGCATTTTTGTTAAGAAAACGATATACATGTACCATCATTATATTATTTGTCTGTGCCATTTGCAAACGACTGCATGCTGATAGTTAAACATTACCTGATAAAACAATTAAATATTCAAGTAATTTAAAAGATTATGATACATGATTCTAGAATATGCCGAAAAGAGATGAGATATTGGAAATAAGCATAGCTCAATCGATTAAACTCGAGCTTGTCTGCAACTCACCTAAAATTGCTAGGTTCTGAAGGTAATGTTCGGACTTGCCTGACAAGGATTCGAAGAATGTTGATAAAGAATAATAAATTAAGCTGAAAAAAAATGAAGAATCAAATAATCATATTTCGTAAATAGTAAGCAGAGAGTATATTCAGTAGATCAATTCCTGTTAGCACTTTTCAAGCTTGATTATATAAAACAAGGAAGTTATGATTATGACTGTATGTTTTAGCAAGCTATAGGAGTAGATAAAAGATTCCCTTACCACTAGACAAAATATGGTAGGTGCAAAGATGATCCAATATAGGTCCTTTCCTGATGAGGAGGAATCCAACCAGCAATTGCTAAAACACAAACCATAGTAAACTAAAGTATACCATAGTGCCCACTAACAATGAGATTGCTAAAAAAAAAAAAAGCATAATTGTATAATGGAGCACAGAAAAAAGACGAACTCTGTGAGAGCAAATACACTGTACACAGAATTTTTGAATGTTATGCTTGCTGCTTTGACAGTGTGTTTTATAAGGCTTGATGATCAAACTTAATGTTGGGCTTTCAACGTCTTACTCAAGTAAAACTCTGCATTCAAAATTTTGTTCAACACAATCATCTTATTCTTCTGAAATCCTAAATGTTTTCAAAATTTTATAGTACAGCTATAACTGTTAAATGAACTTACTTTTCTGATGCTATTTTTGACGATGAATCTGATGATATTTTTGCGATGAGATAAATAATCGTGAGAAGAAGTGGTGTTCCTAAAGTAAAAACATAAAGGTTATGACCCTCAACATTATTGAAAAAAGCATTTCAGAAATATTTTTCAATATAAAAAGATTTTTAATGGATGAAAGATTTTTAATGTATTAGTTTATTTCTAATGGTTATAAAAATATATTAGTAATTTAGTGTATATAATTTAATAATATTTTATGTTATAAAAGTGATTTTATTAAAAGAAAAATCTCTACGAAAATGCTTCCATAGTAAGTACCTACCCCATCCGAAAAGGTAATAGAATATCAATGTTTTTTGTCTTTCGAATGTCTTAATAAGAAGTCTGTGTAGAAAAAACCCTTCACAAAGCATCCAGAAAAATGGTGCAGACCATCCAAATCGATTTAGAATAAAAAGTATCTTGCATCCAATCTTAAAAATAAAAAACAATATATGATTAGTATAGCAGTATAAACTAATGCACAGATGAAATAATAATTATCATATATTTAGAGAATAAAGAAAGCAATACTTTATAAATATAAATATAATTATGTATTTCCTTGTTTTATTCAGTATGGGAAATATGCATGTTGCAGTTTAATGTGTGTATCGTGTAATGTATTATGCAAATATAAATATTTGTACATAAAGGTTGGGTGTAATTTTTTTCATAAAATAAATATAAACGGTCATTATAGATTAACAATACCTGGTCAGCATCGTGAGAGTGATCTTCCACTCTTTTGTATCGAATAATAACATCCCAGAAGAGTTCGATGATTCCTCTAACGAGCAGAGAGAGGAATAGATGAATGTGAAGTTTTATCCTTTGCTGAATTCGAAGTTGTCTTTAAAGATAATATTCATTTGCAGTCAAAAACATTCTATATTCTATATTCAAATTGTGTGAAACATACTTCCTTTAAAATCTAATATACTTTAACATCTAACACTAAATTCAATAGTGAATATTTTACTAAAGTTGAGCGAAAATCTTAACTTAAGCTATTTGACAAAGCAACCATGACATTAAGAATATTCTAATCACTGAGATACATGTACTCCTTTGACATGCAATCCTAACTTTGATATTGCACCTTATGTTTGTCTTTAATAATATTTATAACAATATGGTATATAATGCATGTATTTCTTACCTGTAAAGAAGAAAGAGACCGATAGATGACACTAGAAGCAGCAACCCAACGCTGTTTACGGCGATTCTAACCAGGGTTACATCTTTGAAAAACTAAAAAGGATTTTACTTGTAAAATTAAGCTTAATCAAAATAAATAATTTTGCTAAAATATGATTTGCTTCTGAAGACAAAGATAGTGAGATAATTTATTATATGGTGAGTCTAGGATGTGTTCTTGTTCTTTTTTAGGTCAAAATACAAAATATATCCTGAAAATCAGTAGTTTCATTTTCATTTAATTGCCTCTTTCACGGATGGAAGTAAAGTTGAAAGTCAGTTTATTCAAAACGTAAATAACATAAAAAAGCATCAAATGGCAAATTGTTTATTTTAAATTCAATACGAAATATCATGAAAGCAGAAATAAAATCTTTGAGAAGCATATATATTTTTTAAATTTTATGTTATGATTTTAAAAACGGGCGATAACTCTTATAAACTTTAAATGGTAGAAGATAAGACTAGTACATCAATTGTTTCCTGTAGCTGTGTAACACTGAGACACTCGTCATAATCTGTGTGTTCCAGTTTGGATTTGTCCCTCCACCAAGTTCCATTCTCCGTGCAGAATTTCTTAGCTTCAGCTACAAGTATAATATAAACATAATGTCAAAAACAAATCAATCTGAGCCGACTGCAGCTGTTGTTCTAGATACGAAAATAAGAATGAATAAGCATAAAGTATGCATTTTCTTTTCAATCAATATTCAGCATTTCGTTGATTTTATCGTTATTATGTAATGTCCATTTCGCGAATGCAACCCATCAATTTGCCTTCTTTTTATTTTAATTATCATACGCAATGCAAATATTATACTTTTGTTGATTTCAAATCATCTGATAGATAAAATAAGTGTTTTTGGGGAGAGGGTGACATGTGATGTCTAGTCTTCGTATCCCTTCTCTGGTGTCCAGTGGCCTATATTTTCATGATTTATGTACAGAGTATCATGACACTCATCGTGTTTATCATCTAAACCTTTTGGGGGAGGGGGGACTACGGATCTATTATAAATACTAAATGGTAGAAAGAAACTACATGTATTCTAAAGTAATCTATTCTTCCAAACGGTCAAGCTGTTATTCCTAATTTTAGATGATTCCAATCGAGAAATTCTGAAAGGAAAACCACTAATATGAAACTGATGAGACTTGTTGCTATGTTCGGAAGGCAATATTTTGTAATTTTTATAATTTAGTCTATGCATTAAAGGTGCATGGACACAGATTTGAAGTTAATACTTTCTGTATAATATCACGACTTATATATTTTAATAGCATTTCACACAAAAATAAATTAAAAATCTTATTTCATCTTAAAGTTATTGAAACTTCAAATTTTTGAATGGGTTTGATTGACACATCCTTGCACTCTCACAAATTTTTACTTTTACTCTTAATACTTGGGAAAAGTGGCAATCTTGTTGTGAAATAAAATTGTGCATATTTTCTATTCAATAATCATTTTATTTCTCATAATTTAAAAATTCAGTCTTGGAATAGTTAAAATAATGCACATGTTTATTTTATAGATATTCTTTTAGTTTCAAACAAACCTTACTTTTATCGTCAACTACATTTAGAAGAACTGATACATGTACATTGTCATGCGACTTCACGCATGTTAATTCTTAATTCTTTACTATACTATTAAATTGCTAAAAATCAAAACAGAATATAACAACTTTCATAACGTCGACGAAAACGATATGAAACATGAAACTCTTCAACAATTTCAACATTTTGAAAAGACTGCGCTATTGAAAATAGATCGCTTACAATATATGTGTACAAATAGTTATATCACGATTATCCCAATAAAGCAAATATCTAATTTCTCTTTCAGTTTAATGATCAAGCAAAAATATTGTTCATTAACTTTTTCAACAAATGGGGTGTTAAAAAATTTGATTGAATATCGTCTAGCAATGGGACTATTTTGTTTATCGAAAGCGTCTGCTTTGACACTGTTTGGTTTTTTGTTTACTGTGCTATTTATAGTATTCATGATGCCTAGAGCCAGGACTTTGCTTTCAGCGAAGCCCGGCTAAAAATAACCTATTTTACATTTTTTTTTAAACTATAAACCGAAACAAATTAAGAGCAAAAGTCACTGTAAAGTGCTCAGTTCGCACACTTAGCTATAAGTACATTTAGTTATGTGTATTTGTTTGTATGTTGTTTAACGTCCCTCACAAGAAATTTTCACTCCTATGGAAACGCCACCACTTTACGATTGAGAGCTGCAAATTTTCTTCTTTACTGGGCACTTACTGCATGTTACTAAGCAGTGAAAGATTTTTTTTATGCCAGCACCTTCTGCAACACGGGACCCCGGCTTCTACGGTCTCATCCGAGGGACCAGTTTCTACGTTCCAAACTGGGATTCAAACTTGGCGACTCTAGAGCAGACGCTCTAACCATTGCGCAGGTGACAAATACATTAAGTAAGCATATATTGAGTCGTGTCAGATTGTTATGTAACTGATAATCGAAGGGATGAGCTAAAGTGGTACTAAATTGATACACATACAAAGAATGGCTTATTTCACTTACGTATGTGAGTTATTGATAATTAACATTTTAAAAATCTTTTGTAGCTAGACACCTTTAAGTCGCAGAAATATCTTTTTCGGTCACATCATTATTGTTAAGCAATAATCCTTCGTTTTGAATAATCACACCGAATCCGTTAAACTATGAGAGAGATCGTGTCGTCCCTACACTTATAATTCTACTCCAAAGACAAAAAAAAAAGCATTGACGTAACTTTGTTTTGAGAAAGCTATACTTAGTTTCTTGCTGATATTATATTTCAAGGTGTTTGAGACACCTTGATTTTATCCCCTGCTGCACGATTTTTGTTAGGTTAAAACGAACAAACTGTAAATATCATGTCAGTTGAAGTATCTTTTAAATGGTTGGCTTTCATTCTTAGGATTAAATTTTTTGAGTATACAGCATTCTCTTTATACCTTCAAAAAGTTCCCCATCTAAAAGATTTCCTGCATATCGTTGTTTATTGTAGCAAACTAATTACTGATGTCAAATCTGGGATTTGATAATTATGATATAATTATTTTCAATGATTTGTTTTGAAAAAAAAAATACAACTTTAGAAAACAACGGTTTCAAACGAATTTGTAAAAATTCGAAGAGAAAACAAATGTGAAATTTTATAAATGCCGAAGTAGTAATTTTGATACCTACAGAAATGTTACGTATACATTTTTACCTTTATGTATCAATTTACGCATGGAGAATAAAAATTCGTGAATGAGTGTATCCCATGAAAATTGAGCATTAAACGCGAAATCTGATGATTCCCAGTTACCTTAATGCTACAGAAAAGATATCGATTTATTGTATAAACTAAATTAATTAACCCTTGCCAACAGTACTTTAGTATGTTACTTACCCTCCTTTGGAGTATACGGTATAAAAGTCGGACATTCATGTCTGGTAACTTTTCCAGACTGAGTTCTCTCCCAGCATTCCCAACCGTCCCACGTCATCGGACAGAAAGCGCCCTGTGGTGTCGTAGTGTTTTGCAGTTTTTGAGAGAGGCAGCACTCCCAAGCACTCTCGCAGCACATTTTCCACTGCATACATTTTTCATCAGATGATATAGTTTCACAGACATAACTCATAATTGTGTGGTTGTCGTGCGTAGGGCAGAGGAATTCACTTTGGTTCAAACTATACAAGCATTTTTCACCTGTATATTTGGTGTGATAACCTGTACGGAATGCTCTATTTTCTTTTATAAGGAATTGATAACATAAAGTACAGGTTGTGTGTTTGTAGGCTTGGTCTGTCAGTTTTGCTCCAGATCTTTCTCTGCAACTTTCTTCCCCAGTTACCTAAGACATAATTGCAAATATTAAGTACATGAAGGATATGGAGATAACGAACAGTATTCAATATCAAAGTCCATAAAACAATACAAAATAGGAGCAGAGCAAACACGGACCTCCAAAACATCAGAGGTGGGGTCAGGTGCCATGGAGGAATGAGCATCCCCTGCCGACCGGTCATACCCGCCATGATCGGGAAATAACGGAAAAATCCGTCGTCAATTCAGTTGTAAATAATGGACTAACAATTAGTATGAAAAACGTCAGCCAGCATTTGACTCAATGATAAATTGTATTTGCTGACAAGGTCATTGTATCGACCATAGAACTTATGAAATGATGACTTTAAACGAGAGTGTTGATAGTCTTGTTTCATCAACTTGTTTGTCAATAACTTACATCGTTTTAGAAATTGTTCTACCGTATCGAATCAACTGAGATATGTAAACTCCGTGTGCAGGTGATGAAGGTATATTGCTTCATAGGTAAGGGAAGTTGACGATAGAAAAGTTCAAGCCATCACGTTTATCATAGAGCTTGGTTGTTAGATTACCATTAGTGTCTTTTTCAAGTAAAATGTCCAAGTAGACTTATGTAAAATCACATATTTTCGAGGGGTCATATTTTCGTGGTATGTGGAAAATATTTTGGTTCATGGCCATGGAGATATGATTTCATGGTAAGTTGAGAATTTTCAGTAGAGATATATGTGAAAAATTGGATTTCGTGGAGGACATAAATTCGTGGGTCCCTTCATACCTTAAAAACCACGGAAATTGAACCCTCACGAAAATTAATGATTTAACAGTAGTAAGTATACCGTAGTCTGACGCAATCCTTTTCTCAATTCAATATAAATTTTTGTATCGGCCAAAAGCATTAATTTGACCAAGTTCTTGCCAATAAAACAAAAACATAAAGATAATTTAAAGCAATATGAGCGGAATTTTTGAAAATTTCATTTTGCTGTCAAAATATGCTATTGGACTTTTATGAGGAGAGCTGACTTTTACAGTTGACGCTTACTTTTACACTAGGGCTATGTACGGTACCTCTTTTAAGATATAAATTTTTAGCTCTAATTAAACGAAAATAACGGGTTATTTCAAATCACATATAAGTTGTCCTTGAAGAAAACGACAACCACCCTACCCTCAACTCCCGGCCTTCACATGTTAGCGCCCTTAACACCATATCTATGACCATTAGAAAGGTTTTCTTTTCTATTATCAGTTCTGTACCTGATACATGATGCAGGTTTAAATGTCCAAGTAAACCATCAACTCTTCTCGTAAAAGTCCATTATGATAACGTAGTACATAATTGAAACTTTAATGATCTATAAGACTCAAAAGAGTATTAAATTGCTTCAGAAGAAAGACTTCTTAACAATCGAATATATAGTATTTACTAAGAAATCATTATTGTACAGGACGACAACAATGAAATTCTGCTAGAATCAAAGCTTAAAAATAGTTCTTCCATTGAAAATATGAACAACAAATGTTTATAAACATCCTTTTTTTCTTCATTTCATTAAAATAGTTAGTTTTCCAACAAAAAATTTCCAACATAAAATTGCCACTTTTCTTAAAGAGTAAGAATAAATTTAAAATTTGTGAAAGTGCGAGGATGTGTCAATCAAACCAGTCCAGAAATGGGAAGTTTCAATAACTTCGAGATGAAATAAGATTTTTATTATATTTTCGTGTGAAATGCTACTGCAATATATCAGTCGTCATATTATACAGAAAATTTGAGAAAATATTAACTTCAAATCTGAGTCTATGCACCTTTTAGTCATAGAATACACATGAAAGTGTTATCCTCGTGCTTTATTTTGACTTCGAAAATCAAGGACATTTGTCCTAGGGAAGAAAAAGGGCGTTTAATACAAGAAACTTCTTATCTAAGTAATAAAGTACAAATTTTACCAAAGATTCACACATATTGGCATAAAGTGCTCAATATTAGCCTTACATTTCACAAAAGTTGTAAAAAGGTTAAAAAGTAAGCCGCAAGGGGATAAGTAACAATGAATAATGAGTAAATAATACGATATTAACCATCGAATGCGCTGACAAGCATATTAGAATTTCTTCCAAACAAACAAGGATCAAAATTTATCAGAGGTTTCCCCACAGTGGCTTTTAAGTGGAAATATGATCAATTAATAGTATGGCTACGTTTTTGGGCATTATACAATTATGTCGAAAGTAGCTTAAGATTCCTAAAGCAGGGTGAAGTTTGTTGTGTACACAGTGTCGAAATGTCGGTTTGATCGTTCGTTTGTCTCTCTCTCTCCGGATATTTACGTGTTTCCCGTGATAATTTTACAATTATATTTGGAAGTACTGAATCACCTCTCCTAGCATGTGAACTATTGCTTACTTTGGAGAAAAAGGTATGTTAGGTATGATAAAAAATATATTTGGTCCAAAAGTTCTTCTGTACTAATTGATCTTATCGCTGCATTGAGTGTAAGCTTATTTTACCTTCAGAAAGAACTAAGAACATACACTTTAGTTATTTTCTTATTTTATAAGAAGATATTTCCTCTCTTCCCAAGCATTTTGGTGTTTTTTGTTGAAAATGGATAATATAATGGATAAAAATTAAAGATAAAAGCTGAGGGTATCCAAAAAAGGATTGACAACGATTTGATTCTTCTAAATAAATTAAAATTGAACAATCATCTATTGAATTTATTTTCGTATCGTTTCCGTCATTTCTTTTTAAATTTTGAAATTAAAAATGTCAACCAAACATTTTAGAACCTTAAACGATACTATTATAAAATCAATATGCTGTTTATGCAAAACAGCTTTTAAAGTTCTCTTTTGAAATAAAAAAAAAATCAGTTTGGGTTACATAATTAAGCTTTTTAGAAATAATCATTTCAATAAACTTTTCATTATTTTTTTTTATTTTTAATATGGCATATTCACATGATGAACTCATTTTGTTCTTGCATTTTAATCTACGTGCAAATATATCGGTATCAAGAAGATACCTGAGTTTCTCTTTTACAATACTTATTTAGTTTTAGTTAAATTAATTGAACCCTGTTATAAGCAGGTATGTTTTTGTATTCATATAAAACTAATTTCAATCACACCGTATCTTGCTATGGTCTTCAATTCCATTTTAGATATACAGATAATTTTTCATCAATTAACAGTACTCACAGTAAATTTCTAGATTGCAATTATCGCGTAATTTCACGAAAAGCCCCATTCACATTAAATTACTCGTTTTTATGTTTATATGCCTGATGTTGACACGCTTTGATGTCATTGGGTCATTCTACCATATAAAACCGCAAAAATAAGGAATCTATTGTAAAGTTGTATTTATTTTCATTCCTACGTTGATTCGATCCCACTGAACTCGAAGTAAAACAAAAACAGGGTTTGAAACATCTGTTTCATTTAAGAAAGAGAGAAATATAAATGAAAAACTAACAACTTAAATTTATAATAAACATGATGACACTAACTTTTCTGTCGCCATCTTCCCTCATTAACGTAGAAATAAACATTTTTCAGCTGCATGTGGAGTTTTTCTCCTATGTGTTAACTGTGCAGAAACGCAAGAGTGTGTTCTACGTATAATTTTTTAAAATGTAATTAAGACAGTCAATTGAAAAATAAGTTTAAAAGACTGAGAGTAATTCATTTGATATTTTGACCTATGTCAAACTGGAATTTGAAGCAAATTGTTTATACATATTTAATTTTTGTTTGTGAAATCACAAAATTTCGTTGGGTTTAAATGTAAAATGTTACAAACATAATTACTCAACAATTCTTCATCCATGAAATCAAATCCCCGCGAACTGAGAGTTTTTCCTCAAACCACGAAAATTTTACCACACAAAAATATGTGATTTACAGTATATAATGATTTCAATTTCTTCATTATTTTTCCAGTGATTGGCAATGCAAACCATTATATTCATTATATTCATTAATCTGTGCTACTTTTTTAGTAATTTTTTTATTATTATATGTTTTTTATTGACGTAATTCAAACATTCAAATCACATTTAAATCTGTCTGGCGTAAAAGGCCCGTTTTCGCTTATAAATACATTATTTTACTATCTTATGGAAGTTATCCGCCTTAACATCGGTAAAAGTAATTCATCTCAAACATAAAAAAGGTGACAGAAAAATGATTCAGTGTTTTACTTCTTGAATAAAATTGACCAGAATGAAACACCAGCATTTCTGCTGTAAAATACGAGGGGGTATCAAAAAGTTCGTGGACTAGCGCCATAAAATTAAAACCGCTTTGTACATCAATGAATTCTAAAATATCTAGTAAGCATCATCTTTACTATCTATAGAATAAACCACAAATCATAAAATTTTAATAAATTAGTAATTTTTTTGTAAGCAATGGTATGTCCAGGCGGCGCAACCTCGAAAACGACCCTTTTTCGACTTAAGTGTAACTGAGAAAAAATATTTTGATGTGAAAATTTGACATCCAAATACATGTATCACGTTATTTCAGGTATGTGTTGGGACACTATTTTTCCATAAGATATTAGTATTCAAACAAATATTGTTTAGAAAATGACGCCAAAAGGGGGAGGGGTTTCCTTTTCCAACATTCTATAAAGTTATGCCCATGAAACTATAAAGTTATGCCCATGAAAAAACTGGAATAGACCTATATATAAGAAATGTTTAAACTGGCTACAGAGAAATAATATGCATCACGAATGCCTGTAATATAATGCCAAAATAGATTCAGAGAGAAAAGGAAAGCACAATTAATGTCGATTTGTAGTCAAGGTGTGAAAAATCAATCATGTCAAAAATGACGTTAATCATGTGATGTAGTTATTGAAGTCCAAAAAGCAAAATATGCTGACCCAATTAATCGCGGACCTCTCCCATTGTATAAATCTATTTGCAATATTATATGCATTGGAAGATGCTGTTCATGACATTGTAAAGTCATATAAACAAGACTGATTGAAGTCCTTACTCAGCTTCAGGGAATCTCATTAAAATAAGTGTATGAGGTAGAAGAAGCAGACATTGAAAAACAATGACGTTGTCGGACGTCATAAAAATAAACGGCAACGGCGCCGGGTGATGATCTAATGTCGCTTTTATTTTATAATAAATTGGGAAATAATGAACGTATCAAGCTAAAATTTTCCACATTTTTTTATTTATCGTTGTTTTATGTTTCTTAAAAATTTTGTAAGCTCAGACTACATATTTTTATTTTTAGAGCCCCAGTCCACGAACTTTTTGATAACCCCTGGTAGTTATGAATGTTGTCTGACGATTTTCCTTCAGATTGTAAAGCTATTGTTTTCACACTTAATTATCAATGGATATTTTCGTTATCGTGGTGATGAATAGGAGCACATGGCGGGTGCGATCGTTCGATAGGGATGCTTTCTACTTTATGACAACTCATCCCATCTCCGATGTTTAACAGAGGTCCATGTTTGCTCTGCTCCAAATTTGTGTAGCTTTATTGGACTGTTGAACTAGATAACTGCTTGTAATTTTCGTATACCATATTTAATATCATTATGCATTAAATGCCATTTTCGGAAATATAGTGTAAAAACATATACAGTTTTTACTAAACTAAGTAATACGTACCATACAAGTAGTAATCAAGCATGTGAAAAGAAAGTTATGTTGAATCTTCATTTCTTAGTAGGGTTTTCCCTCAAAGAATACTCTAGCTGAAAGTAAAGAAATCAAAATCTACATAACATTTCTCTAAATAATAGAATACTGCTTGAAACTTTGAAACTACTGCTTGAAATTCTGCAAGGACAAAAAAATTCTCATCTGTTTAAATTTCTAACTAATCAAATCTGACGTAAGATGTCCCCATTCAGGTCATCTTTTAAAACAAAAGCCCAAAAAAGAACTAGAAATCTATAGATGCTTAAAACATTCTCTTTTTCAAAATGCACTTTTTAGATTGGTGATTTGATGTTTTACTATAGCTTTAATGACAGATTCATTCTTTACAAAAACACAGTTAATTTTGTTTTTCTATCTTGCAGGTCTCAATAAACATTGAATTCCTAAAACAAAAACTAGTTTCTCTTGTTCAAATACTGTGAAATCCCAAATTTTCATGCGTTTTGATTTTCGTTCTTTTTGAGGTATGGGAAGACCCACGAATTTATGTCCATTACGAAATGTA